TTTTGATAGTCTTTTTTCACCTGTAAAGAGAGTATGTAGCAAGCTCTGAGGCAGATCAAATTTTTGCACCAGTTATCTAATTCATTTTTACTTCTCCTTTCTACCTATTCTGCCATGCCAACGTTAGGGCTCGTCAGGTTGCTGGGGCCTCTAATCGCGAAATCACACGTCAACCTGGTCGTCCGTCTTCATATCTGCAAAATAGATCCGGAATCCTGATACTCTCGCCACTCACTGGCGGTCATCTTCAATGTTTAAAGGCTCAAAACGTCGGAAGAACAGCCTGTGTTGTCTCAAACTTCTCTTCACCTGCTAGTCATATCTGAGCTAAAAGGTTTTCAGGTCTCGAAAGTACCAGTCCGCGATCCATTCGATCGAATGAGCACACGAAACGAGTGAAAGACGAAGAATGGCACGTGTTTGGGTGAATTCTGTGGAATTTTAATTTTTTTTTGAGACAACCTTAAGAGGCGAGATAAGTTCGTCTTCAGCCATTAGACCACACAGCATTGGGTTTTATACGGAGGGGTGAATCCACCGCAACCAAGGTCAACCGTCGCGTTCACACTTTTCTGAAATTTTGACGACCTCCTCTCAAGTGGTCTCAGTACGACTCCATATTGTTGTTTGATGAACAAGTACATAAAACAGATCTAGATCTGATAGATTCAAATCTTAAGGTCCCTAAGAGACGGCGGCTTCATCTCGGTGTTAGCCTAAGGCGCGTCATTCATTAGGCAGTGAGGGAGCGGGGCGTGTGAAGAAAAATTCAGTCACACATAACTTGCTCGAAGAACCACACATTTTTGAACTTCTTAGGAAGATTTGGAATGGTCATTTGCTTCTAGAATCGTCATCGTTATCTCACATGTTAGGAAGTGCTTCTGTACGTAGTGGAAAATTCAAATTTATAAGAAGTACGCATCACCATTTCTAGAAGGTCTAAACATCTTTCAAATGCAACGGCTTGGGAAGATGTAACAGGCGTTTAAAAAGCTTTGCGAACACTCGCTTCCTCCAAAATTCTCTAGTCGCGCTTTTCCATGCGGATGCAGTTCTTGGGTTTCGAGCGACCGTATTATCCTACTTTCTCGATCTGTGGCGAACTTCAGACAGAACGAGGAAGAACTGGATATGAACTTTCTTAAATGTACTTACCCCTTTCTACAACTCATTTTTCGAAAACAATTACACGTTCACACTTCCAGTGGCTTTGCCGATTAATTTTAGTGAAAATGCATACCCTTTGACCTTCCAAAGGTCATGACTCCCCTCCGCTTGGAGATTTGCAAAAACCACGAGAATTGTGCATTCTCATCTGTACCTGATGTGAGTCACCTTGGAGAAAAGTCCACAAAAATCAGGCTTTCGTGGAATTTTCAGCCTCGAAAAGTCAATCATTTCATATTATTGCACTTCCTCGTTCCTGCAGTCCATATCTCGATTAGGCGTGTCCAAGGTTTGAAGCAGCGGTGCAATTGGACGGTTGGTGGAGCGTTAGCTTCCACCGGTAGGAAATAAGTTGCTTCCAGAAATGCGTTAGCTCACTGTCCGCTTGATACGCGCGGTGGAGTACGGAGCTAAAGTGATGTCTGTAAACAACCACCATGCATCGAATGTCAGGATAATTTAGCGGTCGTACAACATTTGATGCTAATGATGTTGAAATGGAAATACCCAGTACTGATTATCATGTTTCTTCGAACATCCACCGTGCATTTTTAGGAACTCTGGGGAGTGTAGCGGCCAAATGGTATTTGGACTAAGGACGACAACGCATTTGAAATGATATTGAAATGAATTATTATCGATATCACTTTCCGACCCCCACCAAATATGTTCCCGTCCCACCCTCTACATCACTTCTTGGAAACCAACGCCTCACTGCTGCTGGGACGCGCACTATGAATTTCGTGAAATTTGCGTTTCAGCGCCTCTTATCAATCTTATCAGTCGTTATCACTTTCTGACCCCACCAAATATGTTCCCGTCCCACCCTCTACATCACTTCTTGGAACCAACGCCTCACTGCTGCTGGGACGCGCACTATGAATTTCGTGAAATTTGCGTTTCAGCGCCTCTTATCAATCTTATCAGTCGTTATCACTTTCTGACCCCACCAAATATGTTCCCGTCCCACCCTCTACATCACTTTGGAACCAACCCTCACTGCTGCTGGGACGCGCGCTATGAATTTCGTGAAATTTGCGTTTCAGCGCCTCTTATCAATCTTATCAGTCGTTATCACTTTCTGACCCCCACCAAATATGTTCCCGTCCACCCCCTACATCATACTAAAATACAGCGCTCCATTGTTGCAGCGAAGCGCGCTATGAATTTCGTGACAAACAGACACGCACAGACATACTTATAGTAGGATAGTGGGACCATTCAGAAAATCTGACTGCTGTTGATTAAGCAGGAAGTATGAAGTCTATCGAGCGTGCCTGCATGATAACGATAGGATTGAGCATGCAGCAGGAAGGTATTCCAGCCATTTTCAGTGGCCTGAGCCTATTGCTGGTCAGGTCATCAATACACGGTACGTAGATTCTCAATTCTTGCTTTTATGAACAGAATACGAATACGTTCCTTAGGTAGTTGTCGACGGCAGGCTATCTGCTTATGCAGTCTGCTACCGAGAACAAACATGTTGAAACTTGCAACGCATCCAGGCAGCAAATAAAATCAAAAATCTTAATCGTCCGGTGCTTTAAGCCCTTGACGACAATGGCACCCACCGGTGGGTGCTACTATGCACGCCGTTTGGGCTAATGGCTCCCAGTAAAGGATGCCACTAGCACGGCTGATAGAAATGTTTATTAAGAGCTAATTTATATAGAATTTTCAGAATGTGCCATTTAGCTCGCCAGCATATTAATTGGGGTTTTGCATTATTAGGCTGAAGATTAATTACTAATCAGGACTTCTTCGTCTTCTCATAGCCCTCAGATATGGGAAGGGGTTTGAAGTGTATCGAAAATTCTCTTGGACACTTAAACTTTAAAGGTTTTACTCTTCGAAACAATTATACCTCACTTGTGGAGCAAAGTTGGGGGCGTGCTCCCAATGAGTGTAATGGATGTTAATGTATATACTTACTTAGACTTAGTTCCTCCCGTGCTGTTGAGCACATCGGGCGACGAATTCTTTCCACTGCTGACGATTTTGCGCAAGTGTTTCACATTCATCCCTAGAAACATCCATGGTCTTTAGGTCATTATCGAATGTTCGTCTCCACGTGTTTCTGGGACGGCCCCTTGCTCTCTTGGCTCCTGGAGGGACCCAGTACATGGCCCTTCGTGGAATGCGGTGTTGTGGCATACGTAGGATATGTCCAGCCAGTCGGAGTCTGCGCCGTGCCACAATCACGTGGAGGCTGCTCATACCTGTGCGGCGTAGGACTTCCTGATTAGTGATGTGATCTGTATACCGTATTTTCATGATTCGGCGAAGGCAACGCTGATGGAAGGCATTTATTTTTCTGACGAGTCCAGCAGTGATTTTCCATGTTTCGCTTGCATACAGCGCCGTGGAAATCACAATGGATTGGTACAGCCGCATCTTAATGTTATGTGAGATAGAGGACATTGTCCATACTGACTGGAGTCGTTGAAAAACAGATGCTGCC